ATGTTCATATTTGGAAAGGGTAAATACTTTTTCGCGATCAGGTAATTTCATATATGTTCTTTTTACCGGGTTTAAAGATTAAGAAAATTGTCATGTATTTTCGTGAAATTTTTCTAATTTATGAGAAAAAAGCAGTGTAAATGGATTATAGTGAAGAGTGTGCGCAATGCCATTTTTTTGCAATTCTGGGATTTTGTTTTTTTAGTAGTAAAAATAAGTCGGGTTGTACATGGTTTATGTTGTATGTGTTATTTTGAAAAACGCGTAAGGAGTATGGTATTGTGCACTTTTTCCCAATTTTGCAGTGAATATTTGTCATGATTAAGCAGTTTTGTTTGATAAAATTTCTGGCATAAGTGTAATTCGGCTAGTAGATTGTTGGAAGAAGTGTTCAGTAGATAAAAAGAAAAGAAACATGTCTTTACTTAGTGAAGACAAAATGGCGGCAAGGAAAAAAAAATAGAGGGTTGCTGTAGGAGAGTTGGTTGCCAAATTTTCACCAAGTTACCATAATGTAAAGATCAACCAAAGAATTCACATCACCAAAAGCGAAAAGTTGTTTTTAAGAGGTCTTTATTAGAAAAAATGATTTTCGAAATCCTTATATTTCACTTCTTGCTTAGAAACTCGAGTATCCCATCATTTATATTAGAAATAGAAACAAATTATCACTCATGAACCCATTCAAAAGATAAATATATATACGTCAATGAATTGCCAAAAATATTCCTCCAAAATGCTAATTTACAATCACAATGGCAGTTGTAGAAACAGAGAGAAATTTCAGATGATTAATATTAAGGACCTTCTGCTGATTTTGACCAAATATCGATTCCAAAAAATCTAAGGACTTTTAAGGACTCTTAAGGACCGTACGAACCCTGTGTAGAGACATTAGGATTTTTCTGGAAGCAGGCAAGATGAAAAATTAGCAAATGCCTTCGCCGGGAATCAAACCACGGACCTCTGGAATACCGGCCCAGCATGCAGAACCACTACACCATGAAAGCAGGAGAAATACCTTATAAGAATATCGGAAACCACACATATCAGAATATCACAAACACATATCAGAATATCACATATCAGAATATCACAAACCACACATAAAAATTTTCAATTAATGAAAATTGTGAAATTTTTCAATTAATTCTTTCTAAAGAAATGTGGAGAGGCAGATATAAAGGAAGATAATATAACAGAAGATTTTCATTGCAATGATAATGCTTCGATCACAATCAATTAACGGATGGCAAAATTTGTAGTATGATTCTAGGTCCAGAAAATACTGCTAAAGGTAGGGAAGAAGGTGACAGAGAGGTTACTGAAAACAAAAAATTCTGATTGACAAGTTAGTCAGAATTCTCGACACAGCATCTCCAGGACTTAAACAGTGAAACTTTGTAACTGCACAAGAAATTAGGTCTCTATAGAATTAAAGAAAAAGTGTTAGCACAAAAAGTGAAGCATCTTAAACAGTTTACATTAAAGTAATGTTTAGTGAAGTAAACAAATATATATTAGGCATTTTTTGTCAATTTTGATACCCTTTAGATCATAAATGCTTCATTATTTCATAAATCATTTCATATTTTTAATTTTATAATTTCTACAAGCCATCTTACTAGATTCAAACTGATGATCTAATATCCGGAAAAATGCCAAATCTGGAATTGCCGAAGTCCCGGATCTTGGACTTCATATTGTATTAAGGACTTAAATTCAGTAAGTATTTCTTATTTTCTGAGTGAAATTTTAATTCTAGTCAGAGCTCCAAATAGATGATTATCCAACATTTTATTTTTTATCTTATTAAGTGCCATTAATTTAGTACTTCCATAGGGCTCCAGAACTTCTAAATTTAGAAATTAAGCATTGTTCCTTCTGTAATTTGGTCTGTACTAAAGGTAAAAATTCTTACCTCAGAAATTTCGGACCCCCTACCACACAGTCATGCAATTCAAATTGCTTTTAAACAAATATCGACACAGTTATCATCAAATTACCCTGAATCTACATCTAAGTTTTTTTAAAGAACTCTATAAGATGATGCAAGAAGAACTAAATAATCTTATACAAGACTTGGAATAAAATAAATAGACAGGAATGGAATAAATAGACAGTAGAGAAATATAAGTATATCAGAAGAATAATTCATAAGAAAGAATTTTAAAAAAGTGTGTCACTGTGTAATATAAATGTAATTTTTTCAATTTCAAAACTTATAACTTAACAAATCACAACTGCATTGAAAATTATATAATGATCACGATAAGTTTAAACCCACCCCCCTTTCAATAACAAAATAAAATATCCCGGTTGATCTTTACAATATGGTAACTGGTAGTTTGGCGACATTTTGGAGGCGATAAAGGTTACTACCTGGGACTTTGGTAATAATGTAGCAGTACTCAGTTCCGATTACGCATTATTTTGTGTGGGGGAAATGAGAGATCATGGGCTATGTCATGTGATATTAATGGACGAATTACGGTTCTTTAATCGGAAAAGGGGGGAATTTGGACAAGTATCTGTGGATGTATATTATTTTGTATTGTGTGTTGTGTGAAGTAGGGTTGAATAATTTTGGGATTGTATGGCGCTGTCTAAAGTGAATTGTAGATGTGATAAAGAGAATTTTTTTTAATCAAATTCGGAAAAAAAATCGTTCAGTAATTTTATTGAATCCATAATAAAAGTGTATCCACCATGTAAGGAAGATTCAGAACAAGATTAGGTTAGTTAGACTTTGTTAAGAATGTGAGTAGTATTCAGTTCTGATTATGCATTATTTTGTGTGAGGGAAATGAGAGATCATGGGATATGTCATGTGATATTAATGGATGAATTACTGTTCTTTAATCGGGCAAAATCTGGCAATTTTGTATTTGGCTTTATTCTGTGTTGTGTGAAATAGTGTTTGTGAATTTTTGGATCCCATGGCCGTAACTAAAGTGAATTAGAAATGGGTACTTAGTGGTATTGAAAAGGATAGTAATAAATGTTTTTTTAAGGTTGTGCGAGAGAGAAATAAAGATATTTTATTATGTTATTTATTTTACCTCGTATCTTGCTTTGAAAGATAAGTATGATTTTAAAGATTCTGAAACAGAAGGAAGAAAAGTGTATCCGCCACGTAATCAAGATTCTGAAGAAGATTAGGTAAGTTAGCATTTTTAATTATTTGAGGATATTATTTATGCATTGTTGTATGTAAATGTAAGGTGGAAAGGAATTGGTATTATTGGGAAAATTGTTATTAGCAATGATTTTAGTTTAAAGTAATTAGGATTGTAAGGTAATTTTTATTAATTTAATGTATGTGTCATTTATATTTTAAGTAGTGTTTTTGAATTTAATTATATTTTAATGAATGATAGTTATTTTGTAAATTTTATGTTTGTAGGAATTTGGTATAAATACGTTTAAGTTGAAAGGTAAACGTGCATGGAAATAATTTAAATATTTGATACTAAGTATTTGGAATGCTTGCGGTATGAATTCGTTGGTGACGTGTATAATGTAATAGATGATTTAGAGGTAAAGGTTTTTGGATATTCTATTATTTTATAGTGGAAATGGTTGATATTGTAAAGGGTAAATACTTTTTCGCTATCATGTAATTTCATATATGTTCTTTTTACCGGGTTTAAAGATTGAGAAAATTGTCATGTATTTTCGTGAAATTTTTTTAATTTATGAGAAAAAAGCAGTGTACATGGATATAGTGAAGAGTGTGCGCAATGCCATTTTTGTGCAATTCTGGGATTTTTTTTAAGTAAAAATAAGTGGACGTGTACATGGTTTAGTGATATTTTAATGAAATGATAGTTATTTTGTGAATTTTATGCTTGTAGGAATTTGGTATACGTTTAAGTTGAAATAAACGTACATGGAAATAATTTAAATATTTGATACTAAGTATTTGGAATGCTTGCGGTATGAATTCGTTGGTGACGTGTATAATGTAATAGATGATTTAGAGGTAAAGGTTTTTGGATATTTTATTTATTTTATATGTGGAAATGTTCATATTTGTAAAAGGGTAAATACTTTTTCGCGATCAGGTAATTTCATATATGTTCTTTTTACCGGGTTTAAAGATTGAGAAAATGTCATGTATTTTCGTGAAATTTTTGTAATTTATGAGAAAAAAGCAGTGTACATGGATATAGTGAAGAGTGTGCGCAATGCCATTTTTGGTGCAATTCTGGATATTTTTTTTTTAAGTAAAAATAAGTCGGCGTGTACATGGTTTACGTGTATGTGTTATTTTGAAAAACGCGTAAGGAGTATGGTATTGTGCACTTTTTACCAATTTTGCAGTGAATATTTGTCATGATTAAGCAGTTTTGTTAGATAAAATTTCTAGCATAAGTGTAATTCGGCTAGTAGATTGTTGGAAGAAGTGTTCAGTAGATAAAAAGAAAAGAAACATGTCTTTACTTCGTGAAGACAAAATGGCGGCGGGGAAAAAAAATAGAGGGTTGCTGTAGGAGAGTTGGTCGCCAAATTTTCGCCAAGTTACCATAATGTAAAGATCAACCAATATCCCTATCGCTTTTGACATTTGTTTCACAGTGATTATATAGATACAAACAGGTGGTAGCTAGTGATTATATTTATACAAATAATATACTGATTGTTTACGATTCACTATACTGACTGTATTCAAAACATACTATATTGTTTCACAGACCATGCCTAAATAAGCGCAATGTATGCTGTTCACAAACAGACAAAAGATTTAATAAATTCAAATAAACCTTATTTTTGGAAATGTGATCATAGGAATATGTTGGAGAATGACCTCTACATTTTGCTCGGAATGTTTGACCTCTCCTTGAATACACTTTGGAAATATGCAGCGAAAAGTTCTAAAACTGATATGTATTAAATATAAAAATTTTCCTAAATAGCATTGTACCACAGTTCCTTTTCAGAATACAGTAGGCAAAAACATTTTGATCAGTTCTTTTAAATGGAACCATCGTACTCACCAACAGGTACAAATGGATTTTGTTTTATTTTTGCTGCCATTTTTTCTCTAAGACCTTGTCCATTTCTCTGGATTGCATTGATTTTCTCAAACGTTTCAATCCATTCTAGCTTCTCTTTTTCTGATAACTGAGAATCGTCTTGATTATTGTCACCCATCCTTATGCCGCTCAACAGATCACGCAAGAGACAGACAAAATAGACAGATGTCTTGTTTTGCACCCGCTAAGTCTTTCTGCATCGATGGGAGAAAAATCAAGCTTAGGTGCGAAGGAAAGGTATATAGAAACGGAGAAATTTCGTATTTGAGGAGAGTAAAAAGGAACTTCGTACATTTTGTACGAGTTCGAAAAGCCAGGAAGAAAAGATGGGACAAAATAAAATTTAAAATAAATGACCCAAAAATAATAGAGGAAAAAAAAGGGGGCCCTGTAGAAAGAAAAGAAAAAGAAGTAGAAAATAACCTAAAATACGATTGTGTCCATGAGTGTAGTTAAAAGGAGAAGAAGCTGTTTTCATTTACAATAAATAGTGTCTCACAGGTGTGTGTGTGTAGTGAGTGTGTTTGGTAATGCTGAATAGATGTGATACTGGGAAAAAAAAAGTATTGACAGTGTTAAAATGTTTCGTATCAAGGTATTTAGCATGGAATACAAAGTAATATGTATGCTTGCATCCTGAGGCGCAACAGCAAAAGACCCATAACATGAGACAAAAGTATATGCTATTTTCGTTCCCAATATTTTCATACATTTTTCAAAAAAAAAAAAAAAAAAAAAAAAAAAAAAAGCTGCAGGGAGAGAACATAGAACCATATACAATACAAAACCACAACCGCACGAACCAATATATATATATATATATGTGTGTGTGTGTGTATAAACTAATTACAGAGTATATGTATTAAAAACATAAATTAAACATAGTATTTATTAATTTAACTATCAAAATTTATTACAAGATTAATTATTTTACTGTCATAATTTATTACTAGTTAATTAATGCTAGTATAACACAATGAGGCACTCTGTTATTTATAGAAGCTATAGTTCTAAGAATTTATTTAAGGCAGCGAAGAATAATCCATCCCTTACATTTGGACATTTAACAGATGGCAAGGAACAAAGTATGAGAAAAAAATCGGTGAGGTATAATATTACTTAGTTGCGAAAATATATTTAAGCGATCTAAAAAAAAGAGAAAAAAAAAATCGAGAGGGAAGCAGCGCGATGGCCCAAATCCCCAATTTTCCCTCTCGCGAGATTCATCAAAACAAGATAAGGGAGGGGGGGCTTTGTAGGGGTGACAGACGTGAACTGATAACGTTGGCGTCTGTTTGGAATTGTAACCACAAAGGAAGCCAAAAGCAATGAGCAATTTCAAGTATTGTTTAACGCTAAAAACTGAAGGAAAATTAAACTTCATAGATTTAAAGGCACTTATTTATGGAAATTTTATTTAGTTTAGATGAAAGAAGGGTACTTATCTTAAAATTCCAAGCTTTCGTAGTACATCCTCACATTGTCCGCTGTTTCATTCTCATCAACATCGCAACTGAAAATCTTTTGAAAACGTGTAAGTTTTGTAGAAAAAACACTATTTCAAAGTAACTTAATTGATAATCACTAAGGGGAAAGAAATGTTTTATACTTTTTTAGAGAGCACTGCGAACGTGCAGCCGCTTGCCTCGGTGATCGCAGCTCCCCAGTCCAAAAACGGTGTATCTATCAGATAATCGGAATTATAATCAGATAATCGGATATCTGATACTTTTTAAATTATATTTTAATATTTTAACAAGCAGACCAAAATCGATAGGTTCAGAATTCATATATATCAGTCGATTTCCCCTTCTTTTGTCAAAACAAGTCATTTGTCCGTGAAACGACTCAATCTTACACATGTAGCGATTACAGAGTTTTGTTTTTATTTTATATACATATATAGTTATTCTAACAAATGGTGACCTATCCTGTATTTGCTTTTGGTTCTATCACGAAATACACCCACCTGACTGCAGTGGCGTAGCGAGGTCGGAGGTCATCATTCGTTGTGTTCGACAAGAGGGCCTTTATCACCAGATGTTTATCAATCCCCTAAGGGTAATATTTAATAATTTGTAAATGGTAACATTTAATATTTAGTAACTTGTAATTGGCAACACTTTGGATACAGAGAAAAGTCGAATTATGCTGGTATTGCAGTTCTCTGTGATTATACATTCTAAGATTGTAAATAAATAGTTTCTAAAAGCTAAACGTGTACCCTCATAATAATATATGGTGCCAGGAAAATTTTGCTTTCAAAATGGAAAGCTTAAAACCACCAGAGCCGATGAAATTTGATGGAAATCTAGCTTTGAATTGGCAGAGATGGCTGTAATCATTTGAAATATATGAAGTAGCTAATGGATTACATAATAAAGAAGAGAAGGTAAGAGTTAATACTTTTCTTCATGTAATAGGAATTCGTGGTCTTGAAATATATAATACATTTCCTATAGAAGAGGGTAAAGAAATTAATTAAGTGAAATTAAAACAAAATTTACGAAATATTGTATTCCTAAGAAAAATATTACACATGAAAGACATTTATTCTTTACTAAAAATCAAACCGCGTCAGAAACCATAGATGAATACGTAACTGACCTTCGAAATAAAGCTAGAACATGCGAGTTTGCACAATTAACGGATAGTTTAATAAAGGATAAAATTGTTTGTGGTATTAAAAAATGATGTAATGAGATGCTAGGATCACCAGCTCAACGACTTATGAGTAGAAGAACAAGAACGATTCTTCCTACATCTGAAGAATTACTTAAACCTGAAGTTGTGAAAAATGTAAAAGAAAAAATCAACCAAGAAAGAACTAAACAGAAGTCATATTATGATCGTCATACAAAAACATTACCATCGCTAAATAAAGGAGATTGTGTTCGGGTATATCAAGATAATCGCTGGAAACCAGCAGTTGTAGAAGAAGTGCATAAGACGCCTAGATCATATATACTTAGATCAGGTGGATCAGTATTGAGAAGAAATAGAAAAGATATTAGAGAAAACAGATCAGCTATTGAAGAGAATATCAGAGGAACAGAACAAGGAGTTAATACACAGAAAACAGATGTAAAAGGATATGATTCCAGATATTATCAAGGGCAAAGTTTTAGAAGATCAACTACCAAACTCTGCTAACTCAGAAACAAGCAACGGTGAGCTAAGAACTAGAAGTGGGAGAGTGATTAGAAAGCCGGCCAGGTATTTGAACTGATTTTAGACTGAGTTATAAGATATGTGCTGTCATTTACATTGAGTAAAATAAATTCTGCTTTATCATAACTGATGAGACTTTTGTATGTCTTACATTAAACTCGCATTTAAAATTCTTTTACCGTAAATGCAAAATTTAAGGGGGGGGAACTATCTCTTTTAAAAACATTGAAATTAATAGTTTTAGAAATTTTTATAGTAATTTTTGTAAATAGTTATTCAGAATACCAAGAGTAGTAAATTACAAATTACAATGTTATATAGAGAAGGGAATGAAATTCTAAAATAAAATGCGTTATAGATAGAACCATTGTACAGTATAGATTATCTTGTATAAATAAAGCAACAAGAAGAAGAAAGTTCACAAGACTTTCAACTTTACATGTCAGTATTGAAAAACATTCTACAAAAGGATGAGAAGTTTTACACTGAATATGTTAAAAGCAAAAAAATTGAGTTATCGACCATGTGGTTTAATGTTTTATTAATCATAAGCATACACATTTCAAGCGCTATCTGCCTAGAACAAGATGATTCTTAGCACCAAACCCTGGTAGCAGTCCAATTGAAAGCCTCCTTAAATCTTCCATAGCTTTAAAGATGAAATTATATAAATTTTTCTAAAATTACTTACATGTACAGTATGTAAAATTTGAAACAATTAATGCCTTACTTTCAGATTTAATGGCATCTTTATCAAGAACTGCAAAAGAGGTTAATTGGATTGTCCTATCAATGCAAAACTGAAGTGTTATAGCAAATAAGAAAAAAATATTGTAAATAATCTTTATTACAAAAAGAAGATAGAATTTACATAGCTAAAGTATTTTTCATAAACAGCTGAAGGACACTGAAAAAAGATCTGTCTTAATATGGGAGAAATTGCACTTGTGTCCCTGGTATTTAATGAATAATAAGCGGAAAGTTAAGCATGTATGTAGTGAAGGAATTATTTAATGTAGGAAAAAAAAACAATTCACTAAGCATAATTCTAACATTATTTTGATAACATTTATATTTATGAAATTAGCCTGTGAAATGCTCTATTCTAGCTATAAGATATATAGTAGTCTATGTAAAATTTTATTAGAAAGACACACAAATAAAGGCCATTATTGGTTTTCCTGGTTTCCCCAAGCGTAACGTGAATATGAGCCAGTTTATATTAATAAGTCCTCCATGAAAGCGTCGTTCCTCTTAAGCAGATACCCCTTGTAAACAACGCCATATTCATTTAACTTAACCTACAATTTCAGTTGGATTTCTGTAACATATAAAATGACACACCAAAAAGGAGTTATCTGAATGAGACGAAAATCTGTAAATGGATTGAAAACGAAACTAGTATGATAGGAATTTAATATTTTATTCAGGACATACAGCTACAAAAGCAAAATAAATAATGTAATAGCTTCACCTTTAGCCCTAATGCAAGCTCTAATCCGGTTAGGCATTGACTCGTAGAGCTGGAGGATTCCTTGCCATATACTCTCAAACCGCCAAAGAGCCCAAGCGTGCTCAGTTGGGGAGAGATCTGGCAATCGCGCCGGCCAGGTAAGTGTTGGAGACGCACGAAAGTAGAAAGGCAGGCCGTGTGCGTCCAAGCATTACCCTGCTGAAATGTAAGCCCAGAGATCCGTGAAAGGAAGGGCAAAAATAAAGGGCTAGAATCTCATTGAAGTGCTGCCGTGCTATAAGGGTGCCACACCAAACGAGGCCGGCTGTCAAATGAAATGGCACCCCATACCATAGCTCCTGGTTGTCTCGTTGACAGTATCCAGATGAGTATGCATTGCTGTTCTGAACGTCTCCAGACATGTCTTCGCTAGTCGTCGGAACTCACTTCGAAGCAGGACTCATCGCTGAAAGCAATTATATTCCAGTCTGTTAGATCCCAGGTCGAATACCTCCGGCACCGCTGCAAACATGCT